TTTGAGAGAACACCTCTCCACTGCCTGCCCATATGGCTTGGGTGGAGCTGACCCACCCCTTAGCATGTTGACCACCCCTTAGGTCAACATGTGGCACTAACCTGGTCAATGAGACCATCACATACCCTAGGCTACAGGAATTGATTCAGAGGAGGTCATGTGAACTAACTACAGCCAATTCCAGGACTTCTGCTAGAGCTTTTGAAGAAAAGTGAGCTCTTTTTCTTGGGGGTTATTAGGCTGTAAGCTGTTAGCTTGGTGCCACTGGTGGCTATTTCTGCCATCTTGTGGGAAGAGCCAGCCTGTGAATGCAGCCAGCATAGGAAAAAGTAGAGCCAAAAATAAAAAAGAACTGAGTCCTGACATTGTTCTTTCAGGTGCTGGATCCTTTGATATTAACATGAGATTTACCCCACAAATACATTTATTGATTGATTAATTAGTTAGCTTCTTTGTTTTCAAAAACTAGTTTCTGTTAGGTTTTTATCACTCTCAGTTGAAGAGTTTCTTACTAATATAGCTGGTACTTAATAAATGCTAGCCATTATTTTACTACCACCATCATCTGGGATTGTTTCTGAGACAGAGATGGGGAGGTGACAAAGAAGAACGGGGCATAAGGAAGAAATAATGGATGAGGAGGAGAAAGATTTGGAAGTCAACTATAGTGCCTTGGATGTAAGAGAGAGCCTTGGATGACTGCTAATTCTAAAAGACCTAATGATGTGCCAAAAAAAATACATTAATTGGGGGGCTGTCCATAGGACGATTTATGGAATCATAAGCTTTTACTTACCATCTACTTTTCTGATTTTCCATTCAATTACTTTTACAAGAAAACTCCCTGATTTCAGTTAAAAACAAAGCAAACAACTCTCTCTACCCAATATAACAATTTAAAACTCCTGCAGCAACAACAGACTAGGCATTTATTTGAAATCACAAGTTCATATATGACTCTTCATGCAGCTCCAATGAAGAGGAAGTAGGAATCTTTTTAAAAAGAGCTGATAAAAAGGGAGGATAAGGTATTCATAAATGGCCCGTAAAATAATAAAGGAAAGAATACGTTTTTAAACGCACACATTTCTACATTCCATAATTAATAAACATCCATTTTCACCATAGATCTAAAATACTTCATTCTATTTCCAGTACCCTGTCACAAAGGATATTTTCTTCCATGGTACTAGTGAGTCATCTGTAATTTTAAGAAGAACATGAGAAGAAAGAAGTTTTCTGTAATAAAGAGTAGGTGAAGAATTTCAATGTATAGCCAAATGGTGCAAAATTAATCCAAGCTATGAAATAAAAAACTGTGGAAAAAAGAACCATAGGGAAAAAAAAAAAAAGTTTTGTTCATAAGCTAAATGTGCCCTGCCACATAGCTAAAGTAAATAAACAAACAAAAGGAACACTGCCTGAAATCATGTTTTGAAGACCACTGGACCAGAGCTAAGATGGTATGGAAAATTCTGTGACTGTATTCTGACAGCATTGTTATTTTAGTTTTTAGTTCTTACCTTGGACTGCTGAAGGATTAAAACATCAGAGGGTCTGGAAATGCTTCCATGCATCAGGAATGTTCATGAGATGGTTCTACTATTTCTTTAGTTATTACTATAATACCACTGACCGTGGAATAAACTACTTTAACAATTTTAGTAGAACTTTCGAACATTATATAATGTGCACAATTTAAACTAGGGCAAAGAAGATAAAAATATGTGGGCATATGCCATCTGAAAATACACCATCAGCAATGACATTTCCATAAGCTCACTGACATTGTCTTTTTAGAAGATCACAGAGGGTTTTAGTGTGGCTTACACATATATTTCTTTTATGGATACCACTGTACTTTAAAATATAACATAAAGAATAGGTTCTGCAGCCATTTTTATAGTAGACTTGCTTTGTTTATTCTGTATATTAATAAGAAAGAAACTAGACTTTGTATATAGATATAAATGGCACTTTATTTATTGTACCTCAGTTAAACCTTAGGGAAGTAACTCACTGGCCTACTGATATTTGCATATTCCAGCTCATTCAGGAATAGAATAAAATCCACATCCCCAATATGAGTAATAGTTTTTTTCTAGTGACATTTTTCCTGAAAAACTTTTTTTCTAGGGACATTTCCACCATTAAGCGCTTTATCTATGCCAGGAGTATTGTGTATATGTGTGATCCACTGTTTTAATGAAGGCCACTCTGCTGATCTCAGATTTTCAAGTCATAAGACAAAACTGGTCATCAAACATCAAAAGAAATATTCATAATTATTCCAACTTTAATCAGAGCAAACTAATTCAGAATTTAAGACTATTCCTCGATACTGAAATAACCCAATTATGGAAGAAAATGTAAGACTAGAAAACAATGTAATGGCAACCATAGAAAGTCTCAAAATATGAAAATGCAAAAGAAGGACATTTTAAACACATAGCTTAGTCATGTGTCCTAAACACACAGCTTAGTCATGTGTCCTAAGCTTGCAATGTTACTTTTTAAGGATTCCAGTCCTCCAGAATGTTTCATTTGTATTGCACTTTGAATGGCTTACACTGGAAGACTTGCTGGATGTCAGCCCAGTGTTAAGGCAATAGATGTGCCTTGCCTTGGGGAAAACTCCTTCCTGATAACAATATTTCTCTTATCAGGTTGTTCTGCTTGCACAATGTGATTTGTTCCAAAATGCCACAATGTTTTTCCTTCCTCACACAATATGCATTTGAAGATAAGGATGGATGGTGTTAGAGGCAAGTAGGAATGTGAACCGAACAAAGTTTGTAAGGGTTACTTCAGCACAAGAATCTGGCTGGCTTCCTTCAGAGTTGGTCTTCAGAGTTGGTCTTTAATCCTCAGTTTGAAGATCTTTCTTTTAACTATTTGAAAGGGCCTGCATAATTTTCTTTTCCATCTGCCCTCTTTGTTATAAGCCAATTGTTGGCTGTTTGGGGACACTCCCTCAAGACAACAACTTTTATTGGCCTGAAAACTCTTTAATTTAAAGGACAGATTGAGTGGATAATCTGGTTTCCACATAAAGAATCACTGCCCTTGTCAACATGTATTAGCTTGGCCTTTCTCAAAGCATTCGTTTATTGTTCTATACGTAAGGACACCGTACATGAGCTGGGATGCTAGATATCAGCCCTGTTTGATGAAGGGGTAGACTCTGGGTAGCTTTAATAATTTTTAGATAGTAATTACTACCAGAGAGGTGGGACATAGATGTCAGGGGTTAGCAAAAGCCCTGCTAAGGATGAAGCCCAGTAACCCATGATAACAGCACCTCTAAACAGGCTGCTTCAATAATGAAGCAATTTTAAATATGTTAAAATGTTTGTCTAACTGAATTATCTGCATTGTCACCTTCCTTATACAAATAAACCCTTCATCATTTGATTAATTTGGATTTTGGCTTTTGCAGACCTTACATTAAATTAATTTCCAAAGGACTGATTTAATGATAAAGTGCAACTTATAATTTAAATGATAGTTATGAAATGGATAAAATCTTACCTGCTAAGATTTAACAATAGTATGTTAAAAAGGAAAGTTGAATAAAAGATAATGAAATCTATGGGAAATGATTCTTTATCTCTTTCTTTAGTGTATAATGGGCAAACCAGTTTTTAAGAAGGGAAAGTAAGTTATGCTGAAATTGGTTATAGCCTGAAAAGTTAAAAAAAAAAAAATCTGAACGCAGTGAAAATTTTACCTGTGAAACTGCAACAGTCAATAAGAAGTGATTTGCAAAACTGTCTCAAATCCACATATTAAAATTTTTAAGCTTATACATTTAATAAGGACTACTTGATACAGGCTGTGCCAGCAACCAAAAGAGTTCCTAAAAGTTTTGGGGGTATTTTAAGGCCTATGCCCAACTGAAAAATTTTACCTGCTCAATTGCAATCTTTTTACCCTACCTTCTACCAAGAGTTCACAACGTATTGTGTCCAGTGAAAAAGATAATAAAATGTTGCAAATTAACTAGTCATAAGTTTAATCTAAAATTAATACAATAAACTTTTTCAATTTTATCTTTTTCTATGCTTTCCTTCTTGGTTTGGTGTAATCATAGTCATAATGAAAGATTGGGTGCTTAATACAAGGTATTCATTTCAAGCATAAATAGAAAACGCAAGCATTTAAATATTGTTTTATAGGTTCTTCAGAATACAATATTTATGTTAATCTTACCAGTATCAATATACCTCCACCAAAATATTGAATAATTTTTTAATATTGTAAGCAAAGTTTCATTTTATGTATTAATAATACTGAGAAAAATGGTTGAATAGCTGTCATTATTTAAATCTTGATTTAACACTTTGTGATACAGAAATTCAGTTGTTACATAATTCAGTTGATTGAGATACTGAGTTTTAATGGCTGTCACTGCTAACAATGATACTTCCCAAAGACACGTGGATCCAAATGGAAAAAGCACATTATTAGTTACTAAAACTGTAGTTTGTAGAGGAATGTTCTTTTCCAAGTAGAGAAAAGTTTCTGCAAGAAGTTGAGTTATTATATATAACATAATTTAGAAATTGAAAACCTTGTGGCGTCAAATTTTGTTCTATGAGAAATTAATACTAATATTTTAAAAGTCTTTATCTGTCCCTAAATAAAAGTTTAGGGATAACTTGGGATAATTTTAGGATTTTCAAGTACAGAAAACACACAAAATTGCATAGTGAATACAATCTCTGGGGAGATTTAATTTGTTAAATTAGCTGCCTGCCTACAACATACATTTATGTTCAGGTATTTGTTGTGGTGCATCTGGGACAGCTTCATCTGTTATGACATAATCAATTTGTTTTTCATGGATGTATATGCATAAAACACACATAAATGTATTTATTTCTTAAACAGAAGGATACTTAAGACTTTCTGCTAATTTGGCATGTTTCGGTGCTATAACAGTCCAAGGTACTCAGTAGGCAATTAGCAGCAAAATATGCCCAATAAAAAACACTCACTTTTTTATTGATATAGTACGGGTCCAGGTCCTCCAGCGGCTCTGACACCATCTCTGGAGGGATGTCTCCATAAATAAAAGGAAGGTTCTTTCCAGCTTCCAAGTCACTATTTGGCTTTGGGCCATTTTCATCATCATCTTTCTTGTCTGGTTTGGGATTCTTAGCCTTTTCTTCTGCAATGCGTCTTTCAATAGCCGCAAGAGATTCTCTGGTGAAGAAGTTGAAGCTGTCAGGTCCTGGTGGTACAAGCACTGTTTGCTCCATCTTGTCATCCTGCACATTTTAATTACCATTTACTCTGCATATGAAAGTCCTAAAAAAAAAAAAAAAA